TACAGCGGCAGTATTGGGACTTGGTTGGCGCTTACAACAGCGCTCCAAGCAGCTCCACGCAGCGAGAGTCTCGGGACTTTGTTTGCACCCTCAATAGCGCTCTGAGCAGTTCCACGGAGCGATAGCCTCGGTTACTGAGCGACCTGCCCTGCAGTAGCACGTTGCAGCAGCTGGTCTTCTCCAGGAATCCTTTGGTCGTGGTGAGTGCCGAACATTCCCCCCCCCCCCATACACTGGTAGTGCTTAAGGGGCCATCCATTTAGAACGTACGCAAGGAGGGAGGAGGGGGGGTTAACCCAAATGCGTACGCTTGGGGGCCGTCCATAAATGACGTCACACGATTTTGGACGATTTTTGACCCCCCCCCCCCTCGTCACACGGCGTCACAAAAAGTCAGACCCCCTTCAAATATGACGTCACAAAGCTCTGCCCCCCCCCTCCAAAACCATATTTCCATTTTGAAAATTAAACATGCTTCAAATAAAATTAAATTATTGTCATTGTAGTGCGTTTTTAATGTGGCGCTGCACTCTGATGTTGTAGGAGAAAACACGTATTAAAAAGCAGGCGTTGGAAAGCTTAAATTTTGCATAAAATCCACTTGAAAATATTCAACGTATAATTAAAACTGCAGATGTTCAGAATAATATATTGAAATTATCTTATAATACTTATATATAAATACCCAGCTCTGTTATTCTGTGACTGTGACTGTCATTGTGATTAACGCGGCACGGATTGGTTGAAGTGCGTCACTTGACCGCGAGCAAGTAACCAACCAGAGGTGCGCCACTCCCAAACGTGTACGCCCCCGGATTGGTTGAAGTGCGTCACGTGAGAGTGAGTAGACGGGTGAGTAAGAGTGAGGAGAAGGGTGAGTGAGAGTGAGGAGACGCGTTAGTGAGAGTGAGGCAGAGCCGTGCTCTGTCCACTGCTGCCCTGAGGCAGAGCCGTGCTCTGTCCATTGCATTAGTACTGGAGTTTTTTTTGTGCTTAAATCCACTGCTGGATGAAGGCCCACCACACGCTGTGCGAGTGGATCGTAAGAATTTACATGACCAGTCTGTTGGGGGCCGCCACATGCTGTGGTTGTTGGGGGGCGCCGCAGGCTGTGGATGTTTGGGGCTGCCGCTGCTAGTTATATAATATTAAAAATAATTATAACTATGAAAAATACTTGTTAACTTTGTAGTAGAACGAAGCAAAATGGAGAGTACAATTATAACAATCATTTATTCATTATGTAATGCGAGCGTAAATGGGGTTGTTGCTGGGCTCGGGTCCAATCACACGGCCCGGGGTATTGGGGGGCGGAGCCTGGTCTGCGGGGCGTGTGGGAGGGGCCACCGTTCACCTCGGCTCCAATGGGAGGCGAGGTGAATGGGGGCGGAGCCAGCGGGGTAGTATGGGAAGGCCGGATCTGAGGATCCGGAAGGGGAGAAGTCAGGGTCACGTGGGGGGAATATGTATAAGTGGGAGCCCGGAAGATATCAGGGCAGTCGGGGGAAGTTAAGAGGCTGAGCCACGTTGGGTGGTGAGGAAAGATCCGCGCCATCGGCCACGTGGCCGAAGGACCTCAGCACGCCGTCGGCCAGCGGTGTGCGGAGTGCGGGAATAGAGGAGGTAACGGAGGAGCGTGCGGAGCACGCGAGAGAGAGAGAGAGCGTGCGTGGCACGCGAGAGGGAGCGTGCGTGGGGCGCGCGCGAGACAACACTGGTCCGAGAGGAGGCCAGTGGGGGGTGCGGAGAAGAACCTAAATAAAAGACAAGCGGAGACCAGAAGTGCCTGACGGAGTCTTTTATTACAATTCCACAGAATGAAAAGCCCTCGTAGAATCATTAAAATCTAAATGGTTAATAATAATCATTAACAAAAAAAATTAATGTATGCATTTACATTCTCCCATGGAGAAGCAAAATGCTCCTTAATGGAATGAATAAAAGGTTGCACATTTTTATGTGACGTCACATTTCTCACCCCCCCCCCCCCCCTCGTCACACATTGTCACAAATGCCTGACCCCCTCCCCCCCTAGGTGCGTGATGTCATTTATGGATGGCCCGTTGCGTACGGGGGGGGGTCTACTGACAAATTATATACGCATAGTAAACGGGGGGGGGGAGGGGGGGTGAAGCCTCGATAATAATTTGTCTTCATTGGCCTTCAAATTAGTTAGATAGTCCGGCGGTGGACTATCTGTTTGCTTAAACACGTTAATATTATGAATCCTTGATCGTTTCTGCGCGGATTAAATATCGTCCGTTCCATAAGATTGGGGGGGGGGGGGGGGTGTGCGTCAAGTGTACGTACGCATGTGGGGGGGGGGATTTAAAAAGTGTGCGTGCATACAGGGAGGGGGGGGGGGTCAAGTCTTGACAGATTTTAGCGTACGTACTAAATGGATGGCCCTTAAATACATAAATGTTGTCCTGCAATGACAGCCTCTGTCAATAAACTTGTCTTGTGCAGAGCCTCCCAATCGTAACCCTATAAAACTGTAGGGGTGTCAGGGGAAGGATTCCCACCAATAGGAGGGTTAGTGGGAGGGGTAATCGAGGAGATATAAGGGGAGAACGGGCGGGAAGAAAGGGCCTTTGGCGGGAACGAGATTGGGACGGCTGGGGACAGGTGTGGATGGGAGAAAAGGATTAAAAGACAAACCCCCTGCAATCTTGTGTCGGCTCTCCTTTACAACTGGTGGCAGCGGTGGGATTTACAATGGCTACGAAGAAGAATCCCCGCGGAAAAGAGCCAAGGGAAGAGGAAGCAGGGGCCGGGGATCCTTCCCATCCCGGGCAACAAGGGGGCCTGCTACCAGAAGCAGCAGCAGGGGGCCCGGATAGCCTGGAGGACCCTATGGAGGACCGCATGGCCCGCGTGGAGAGGGCACTCCAGGAGCTACTGCAGAGGCTCCCTATGGGGGCCCGCCGGCACCGGGACCCCCACCCCCACGCGTACCACGGGAGGAGAAGCCACGGGACCTGGAGGCCGACTAGCCGGCCGGGCAGGAGCCACAACCAACCTCATCACGCCAGCCGCCGCCGCTCCCGCCAAAACCCCCAGGGCTAAACACCCAACACGGAGAGCAGGTGGCAGGACGGGCGCGTCGGCTGGGGCCCGTCGACAAGTTCGTGGCCGAGGGAGGAGATTGGGAGGCGTTTGTCCGCCGATTCGAGGCTGCCTTCCACGCTCTCGAGTGGTCAGACGAAGAGGCATTACGAGCGTTGCCATCCGTTCTGGACGACGATGAGCTCTCCTCTTACACCTCCCTTCCCTCGCACAGCAAGACCACGCTACAGGCGGCCCACGAGGCTTTGGGGGAGATCTACTGCCCAGCTGAAGGAGCCTTTAAACGATTCCAAGACCGCCAGCGAGGGGCTAGAGAAGCCCCTTTAGCCTACAGGGGTGCACTGCTCGTGTTGGCGAGAAAGCATTATCAGTTTGGTGGTACACAACACCTGCTCCTGCCTCGTGTTATATTTAATCATGCACACTCACACATCACCGCATGAAACCAAAGTAAATAGCATTTGATTGCAAATTATACACCAAAAACCTCGCAAAACTGAGTGAGATAACATACACAACTGTGTTTAAAACAATCACCAGTCCTTTATTTATGGAATATTACAGACCACAAAGATGAAATGTATTGTTTTAGTAAACCATGGTGATTGAAATGGCGATCTGCCATTAACATGTTAATCTCTCACACTAACACATTCTAATTTTTACTTGGCAGGCATTGGATTGGTGGAAAACCCACCACTGTCGCGGTCGCTGCCCACCACTTACATTAACAGTGGCTGCTGACATTTGGGCTACACTCATTTCAAACCTTTATAAACAGTTTCCCTTTAGAAACTAACCCCCTCTTCCTGATGACGAACGCTTGTGTTGCGATCGAAATGTCGTAGTTTTTTTTGTTCTTTTCTTTGAACCTATCTACGAGACTTTAACGAAAGACCCAAAAAATATATATTTCTATCACCGCAAAAAAGAAGTAATATGGAGTAGGCGTGGCGTTGGCCGAAAGGGGCGTGTGCCCATATATGGTAATTGTGACTCGTGAATCGGGGTTTTAAATTGTATCGATTTAACACAGTCGATCAGGCAGCCATGTTGAAAATATAGATTTATTGGCAATCGATTACATTGGCCAGCTATACTCGGGATCGAGTAGTCGTGTCACCCCATTCCCTTTATTTGATTGGATATTAGCCCTGAGGCACAATGACATGATTAACCCTCAAATTATGATTAGGTATTTTTGTTTCCTTAAAATATGATTATGTCCGTTTTCATTTTAAACGTCATTCAATGAAGTATGTAAAAATCGCATGTCAATACATGCACCGTTGTTTTGTCTGATCTGTGAACCGCAGAAAGTAATTTAAGATTTAAAAAAACTGCCATTTCAAAAAGGGCTGCCCGATCAACTTTCAGCTGGGTGCCAGATGGAATGAGCCGAATCGATACCAATGAAACCTCGATTCACGATGACTATACATAGGCAAGAACACGCCCCCCTTCGGCTGATGCCCCGCCCACTTCCATATATGGGGTCACATATTTGATCGGTGATTTCGTTGTCCTGCAATGCCACCCCGCCAAGTGCTCGAGGAGACGCGTGGTCAGGTTGCTGCTCGTTGCGCGGCGTGCTTCACACAACCCGTGCAGCCATGAGCCCCTTCTGCAACACGGTCATTAGGTTACACGATGCAGGTTGTGAAGTGACCCTCGATGCAACTTATTACGATCATTAGCGTCGTTGTGCAGAAAATGAGTGACAATAAACAGACAATATATTTCCCACATCTGGGACCCATCAACTCTCCGATAGGGTGCTTGGAGATACACATCTGCCAGTTCACCAGTATTGGTTGAAGCAAGCCGGACACGACTGATGAGCCACTGAATGGCAAAACCGGTCTAGAGTTTCCTTATTTGTAACCAATGCTGCTGAAAGATTGCACTCCCAGAAGGCCGTGAGACTGATGGGATGTGTAAACACACTTTATTGATGTGGAGGCGTACTTCATACTATGTGAACATTTGAACTTTGTATTTGGAGACTTAAAACATTCTATATGTGATCGGCAATTAGTTCACATCCCATACGCTTACACGGGAGGATACATTATGATCTCCGGCAGAGTCAATTTAGGTTCCTGTTTCTCTTCCAACGGAGACTTGTTAATTGCATTTAAATTAGGGTATCAATCATTTTAACAATTGAGTTCTACGTCATTTTAGTTTAGGAGATTTGGGCTCTGAAACCAGCACACATAAACAACGGTTGAATCGTACATTTGTGACAGTGGGGATCTGTTCTTTCATGCAAGCAGGTGCTATATATGTTTAAGTGCTCATCGCTACCATTTATGCATGTTACTGAGAATGAATATAAAAAATAACATTGCGAATCGAAACCATTAAACGGCTCAATGTAAACAACTCCCGATAGCAGTCACAGTGAGCACCGCACAGCAGGCGAGAAACACACATCGCATTATTGCATCTCGAGCAAAGGCAATTACTTTTCCCATGCAGAGTGCATATGTCATGTGCATGCGATGGAATGGACATTTGAGAAAGGGAGCTTAATAGCCCATGATAATCATCCGGGATGAAGAAAGATTTTGATTCTGAATGGAATTTATAAAAAATTTAACTAAACCACGCAATAATATGTATTAGTGCAGGGTAGGGAGAAACTCGACTGGAGAGTGAGCAACAAGGGGGCTGAGCAGCCACGTAATGAAGATGAGAATATAGCACTCTTAATAGCCTTTGTTTCAATCAGAGCACCCAAGTGTTATTGTAATAATAATTACTTGAAATGTTAAGGTGCATTTCATCTGTAGAATTCCATGTATGTGCAGGGATCATGACGCAAAGCAGTGCTCTACTTGTTTCGGCAACAGGACCATCACGTCGCAGTAAACCGTGCAAAAGCCGGCATCGTGCATGAAGCAGTCATCCGTCATTACACCTCCACATTGGGGTCAGAAAAACCTTTTCCTCGTTCACGCTGAAAGTTGGGTTTCGAGGTGCGTGTGTGCCACACCAGCACCTGAAGGACACACACACGCATGCACGTCTTTCCATTGTTGAAACTCACCACTGCTTCCATAACTCACCACTGCTTCCATAACTCACCACTGCTTCCATCACACCCCACTGAATTTTTGTTCTTCACCTGAGGACGGCTGCTTGCGTTGTGGCCGAAACGTCGTGAGAATTGTATTTTTATTATTTTATTATTTCCCTTATACGTGACTTTACCGAAAGAACCAAGAAGATGACACACCCCACTGCTTTCACAACTCACCTCTGCTTCCATCACACACCACTGATTCCACAACCCACCACTGCTTCCTGACTTACCACTGCTTCCATAACTCACCACTGCTTTCATAACCCACCACTGCTTCCTGACTTAAAACTGCTTCCATAACTCAAAAATGCTTCCATAACTCACAATTGCTTCCATAACTCACCACTGCTTCAATCATCCTCCTTTTCAAATCAGTTGCCACCATTTCCACTGACCACACCCGGGCATATATCTCAGACACCCTAGGTATATCAAAACTGTGCAGTCATATCATGTAATAACATTAAACACAATCCCAACAGAACCTGGAATGAATCAATTCCTTAAAATACGAAACACGGAGGTCCAGGCCACTCTTGCACAAGAGACAATGTTCCATTTTTTCTCAATGGGTTTATTTAATCTTCTGGTTAAATAGGAGATTGATCACGAACACAGATACCAATCTCTAGAACACCTAGCCTCTTCCCCTGGGTAGGGACAATGGGGAATAGGAGATGTGGATGTGGGTTGGGCAGTTGGGAGGAGAGTCATCTCACATCTTCTCTCGACTTGACCCAACGCTCAGGGCTCTGGGCTACTCACGCAATGGAGGATTGCTTGCATCAAACCAACTACAGTATGTGCAATATCAGTGGAACTCGACTAAACTGATGCCATACTCAAAGTCAACACCGGTCCACAGTTTCCTTGAGTTGAGTCAATGCTGCTGAAACGATTCACTGCTAGAAAGACGTGTGGCTGATGGGATGTGTAAACAAGTATAACCCGTAAAAACAAAGTTTTTCACTATAAATCCTTTATATGCGTGGCGGCTAGAGTCCTCTCGTCCTCTGGCTTGAGATGGCTGCCACCTATGGGTCAGATGAGTGCATGGCAGCATTAAGCAATTGGTAATTAAATATAATATTTTTGTCCTAAAAAGTGTAACATTTTGGAAATATTTTTTTCACGAACATTAATTGTCACGCACAACGAGTCTGTGTGGAAAATGTCAGCTCGATTGGATCACGGGAAGTGGGTTAAAAAACGACCGAAAGATTTGCACGGTCGTAAGCAAGCAAGCAAGCGCGCAAGTGAACTTAATATAAAGATTTAAAAATACTATGTTCTTTATAAAGATGAATATACAGTAAACCCTCTCTATCCGCGAGGGCTATACGTTCTTGAAAATGCTCGCGAATGCATAATTCTTGAGTGCAGAAACTGTGTTCCAATGGGAAAAAAATGGGGTTACTTTCCTGGTACGAGTGATTACTCGGACACTTGTGGACTAAGCGGGCAGCTGAGCGGTTATGCCTAATCTTAGCAGTTTCAAATGTGTAGTGGAATAGCGCTGGCTGCTGGCAGAAATGGGGATCTGCGACATACAGCAGTCCTAATGTCAGCAGGCCAGAATATACACGAGAGGGGAATTTAGGGGAAAGGTCACAGAAGGGGCCCACCAGGAACCCACTAGTAGGTTCCAGAAAGGGAGCGTGGCCTGGGCAGAGCAGGGCCACGCTGACAGTTTAAGAGGGGCCCCTGTGGGGGACCTCAGGCCTGTTGTTGGAGCGGGATCCCAGTCGTGCTGCTGAAGTCCATCGTCGCCATTCTTCTCGTCGTCATCTCCATTTCTACCATCTCGGGGAGCCACTAGCCAGGCAGTCTACCAACTGTCCTGGCTGAGGAGCGTCGCCGATAATAGATGGACTAAATATTAAGTGTGTTAATACTGATGGTGCTCATTAATATAGATGTGCTTCTAAGTCTTATTGTCTCCAAGTTAGTCACTACAAATGTAACAACATTCTGTATGCACCTCCCCGGTGTCGGTGGTCTGGCACTACGCACACTCGCAAATACTGGAGTCTGGCGGGTGTCGCGAATAGGGAATTAGTATACATTTAATTGTTCATGAATGTGAAACTCGCGAATCCAGAACTTGCGCATAGCGAGGGTTTACTGTATTCAGGAAAGAGGTGTATTTGGCTGCCAATGATGCCAATGGTTATCTGTTTTCAACACGTCTGTACAGTTTGTCAACTTTCGAGTGACAGTCTGTCTCCCCTCATTTTGTTGCTTTGTTTCCTGCTGTTGTGCTTGGTCTCTCATTGACATGCTAATTTATCTACCCCCCCCCCCTCTCTCTGCCCCCATCTCTCTCTATGTAAGGCGTTGTGTGCCTATGTGTTTGTCTCTCTCTGTGTGTCTCTGTGTCATCTCTCTCTCTGCTTATGTGTCTGTCTATGTGTCTCCGGTTCTGTGTTGTATCTCTCTCTTAAATTTAGCAATCTTTGGAAGAACGTAATCAAGCAGGTAGGGTGTTGACTGTTATGTTAGCCGACTATCTGTGTTGTATTGCATTATATTTCTAAGTTTACTAGGTTTGTTTTCTCGTTCATTTATACCTGATGATGATTGCTTGTGTTGCAATCGAAACGTATGCTATTAATTAATTAATTTATCTTTCTACGTGACTTTACCGAAAGAACCAAAGAGTAATTCCTGCAGTCACGAAAGCGCCAAATCAAGTTTAGTCAAGATTGTCTCTGTCATGCACTGCTTAAATTGACCTATCTGACCGGAATGATTGATCGGACAAGGGCTCACCTTGGTGCAGTTGTCAGCTTTTGGCTCCAGTTGGTCTCTGGTCACGAGTTGCTCGAGAAGGCTGGACTCCTGGTTCCCACTCCTCACGTGGAACTTGAAGTATGCCTGCAGATGCAATAGGCTACTTTCAGCAATAATATCGTGAAATTTCGAGAGTTTACATTTAAATGTGCAATCAGCATGTGCACAGGTAATTTTAATTAAAAGTGTTGGGAGTCTGGAACCGGCTGTCCAGACAACACGCCGTGGAACTGATTTACCAGGATTCTTCACAAAACTCCTCGATGAGATTCTAGAATGGATCTGCTACTCACAACCGATTTGAACTAGATGGAACCGAATGGCCTCCTCTCTTGTTTTAAATCTTTCTTATTTTATTATGTTTGTAGAAGGGATGTGAGTAGTCTGCTGGGGTAGAATGTGCAACGTGGATAAAACGGGTAGTGTAAACTTGTTGGAGGTAGCGATACGGTAGCCGAGGTTGAGAATGAATGGCAGAGACAACGATTGACATAGGTAGAGATCGCGCTGTCTATAGCTAAGCTATTCAGCTAAGTTATTTTTTTATTGTATCACTTAAGGCCCAGTGAGCTATGCAGCTCTTTTCAGAAGCGACCTGGCCACAAATGATAGCTCAATGAAGTTGCTAATTGTGTGGAAATTTACAGCAGTCAGATACTCAAAACACACGTCAAATCTAAATGTGTAGGGAAAAACCGGATGACCCGGAGAAAAATCTACGTGACCACGGACAGAGCACGCAAATTCCAAATACAAAGGAGGTGTCAGGGTCGGGATCGAACACACGACCTCCTGTATACCAGGCGAAGTAGGTGACATCTCGCCACCGTGGAACCCTATGGTCGTAATTATGAGGAATAATGGGACGAGACAGAATAATGAGAAACATTTATACGTTAGTTGTGGTTGGAGGGTGGTGGTATGACTGGGGTTGACTGGATAGAGTTGGTCAGTCTACAGGAATAAGGTTGGCTGGGAGCTGGGCACAAGACAGATGTGGGGCTCCCAGTATGACCTATATGGAAATTCTGACTTGTGGCATGGAGAGAGTGATAGAGAATAAAGGGTTAATACAGCGGCCGGGAAACAATCGTTAATTTGCGTGTTGAGAAACAAAACATCTAAGGAGACATCACGTTTCCTTCCCATATCTATCCCTCTCCACATACAACAAAAAATTGTATTTATTACCCTATTCCGTCACTGCCTGTGGAATGTGTGGCCAATGGGATGTTTAAAATGGACACTTTATTTCTCATTTGTAGGGACATTTGCGGACAGGAGATTAATTTTCTGCTTAGTTATTATGTTAATCATATTCTCCACAAAGGCATTGATATTTTTGCGTCACGTGTTATGACTCGCGTATAACCATGCAAAAGTTACGCTGGTTAGCACACTTTTTATGAAATACAATATTTGAGAATTTCCACAATTTGTCCATGTCAGCATTTAAACTAAAATGTAATGCTCTAAGTAGGCTACATCCCGAGACTAAAACATATTCATATCCGACACTTGTGATTGGTCGATCGCCTGAGCAGAGTTTACCTGCTCGAGAGGACCCTTGGCGCTCCGAGACTTTTTTTGGGAAAATATGTTTATTGGTGCACGCTGGGCATTCTCAAAGATCTGGCAGTAGCATCTTTACCATTAGCTCACAGCACCGGTGTTAGCCACCTACTTTAGGATTCTGCAGGAGTAGGTTCAGGTTGATGGCGAAACCGGCCATGTCGATGGCGAATGATCGCGTGGGGCCGTATGCAACCTTCCAGCCGGTGACCACGCCATTGGCCCCCACCACTACAGATTCGTAACGCAAGCCGCCCACAAACGCCACGGGCCACACGGACACATTTGTTGTGTGTCGCATCTGAAAGAGTGTGGGGGGTGTGGAGGGGGGTGTGCACAGGAGGCAGTGGGGGGAAGGGGGATATACGTTTATGTGAAGGATTACATTGCCCGTGAATCTATTTAATTAGAAACAGCGTCACCTTATGTACCTTCAGGAATTAAACATTCCACAGAATAATCGCCAACCATAGGCAGAATTTACTCTTTGGTTCTTTCGGTAAAGTCACGTAGAAAGAAAATAAATTAAATAATAACATGCAACGTTTCGATTGCAACACAAGCAATCATCAGGTACAAATGAAAGAGAAAACAAACCTATAGAGAGAGAGGGGGGCAGAGAGAGAGGGGGGATAGAGAAATGAGCATGTCAATGAGAGATTTGGAGCTTTCGTGACAGCAGGAAATAATAGAGCAACAACACGAGGACACAGAGAGAGAAACACACTTAATCAAACAAACTTAGCAACATTTACAAATGCTAAGTTCGTTTGATTAAGTGTGTTTTCTCTCTCTGTGTGTCCTCGTGTTGTATTTCCTGCAGTCACGGAAGCTCAAAATCTCACATTGACATGCTAATTTCTCTATCCCCCACCTCTCTCTGTCCTCCTCTCTATTTAAGGCCTCGACACAGAGGCATTGTTTCTCTGTGTGCCTATGTGTGTGTGTTTCTCTGTGTGTCTATGTGTTATCTCTCTCTGCTTATGTGTCTGTCTATGTGTCCGGCAAAAACAACCCCCTACCTCCTCGTGGTGCCGCACGGGCAACATTGTCGTGGACAGTGCTGTGGGGGGGAGGGCCAATTCCGATTGGCCTTTTCCCTCGGGGCGTTTGTAACCACCACAGCGGCTAAATGGGGGCTCTGGATGGGTGCGAGGGGCTGGTAACCCGTCCAGCTTCAATAAATTACCACAAAACCACGTAAAAAACATCTAATTAATAAGCGTGTGCCGGAGGCCCCGGGGGGACAGGCATCTATGACGTCTCCTGGCCAAACCCCATTTGGTGGAGCCAGGAGATTGAATCTTTCCCCTCGGAATGTTCAAACGCTCACTGCGGAGGAGTTGCTGCCACTCCTCTGTCGGGAGCTGGAACAGTACCGTCTGGATCGCTGTGGTAATCAGGAGGCCCGGTGGACCGGCTCTGGCTCCTGCAATCATGAGGGGTGGACAGTCCTCTACTCGGGGCAGGAGACTACCAAACAACAGGGAGTGGCTCTTCTTCTGAACAAAAATAATGAAGGGGGTGTGGGAGCGTGGCGGTGAGGTGTGGGAAGTTGTAAGCCCCAGGCTACTTTGGGCTCGCCTCCGTATCAACCAGAAGCGAGGAGTGGTGGTCGTGGTTACTTATGCCGCCACCTAAGACGAACATCCGTGGAGGGATGCAGGCAAGGCCGATGAGTCAGACGCCTTCTAGGACCTCCTGTCACAGGTGTTAGCTAAAGTGGCCCCTCGGGATAGAGTCATCTTGTTGGGTGACTTCAATGCCCGAGTTGGTCATGATGCTGGCACCTGGTCTGGAGTGATTGGAAGGCATGGGCCAGATCAGCTCAATAACAATAGTAGGAGGCTGCTAAATTGTTGTGCAACCCATGGGCTTGTAATTACCAACACGCTGTTCCGGCATCGGCGCATCCACACAACATCATGGATGCATGCCGGGTCCAAGCAAGAACATCTGCTGGACTACATAGTGACGGAGCAGCGGATACGCGTCCATGTCCTTGACACCAGGACCTACCGTGGAGCTGATCTGCCCTTTGACCATCGACTTGTCATCTGTATGATGCGCCTGCCATTCTTCCACTCCGGTGGTGGGTGTACACCCAGGACCCCATTCAAACCTAAGGTGGCCTGGTCTCAGCTAGCTGATGAAAGTTGCAAGCGAAAATTTCATCATCGCTTGTGGCTGGGGTTGGCATCGTCCTCCATTCCTCCAGTTGTCGAGGGTAAATGGGCGAGGTTTAGGACTGTGACTTAGGCAGCTGCAATGGCTGCTTTGGGAATGCAGTCCAGACCTCCCTTAGAGAGCCTTGAGGCGCTGCAAGGATGGGTGGTGGTCGTGGGTTGCTGAGGATATGGAGTCTGCCTCACTGGCCCGCGATTACAAATCCCTATTTAACTCCATAAAAAGTAACCTGCAGTGCCACACCTATTACCATAATTAGGGGAAAAAACGGTGATCCAATCTCTGACCCCCAGGAACAGGTTTGCAGATTTGCTGAACATTTCTGTGAAGTCCTGGGGGAGGAGAAATCACTCGACATGGAAAACATCTTTGGACAAAATGGGGATGCTGAGGCTGCGGTGCCTCAAATATTGGAGGAAGTAGTTACCCTCTATGAGTGACTGGCTGGGATGCCATCTATTGAGGAAGTACTAAAGGCGATCCAGAGTCTGAGACCAGGTAAGGCACGGGGCAGAGATGTTCTCCCAAGCGAAATGCTGAGGGAGGGTTGCGTTTGTGCACAGACTGCCCTACATGATATCATATCAACAGTTTGGAACACTGGACGGGTTCCACAGGATTGGAAGGTTTCCCTTGTGGTCCCCCTCTTTAAGAAGGGGGACCGCGCAGACTGTAACAACTACAGGAGCATCTCACTCCTCAGTGTGCAGGGAAAGGTCCTGTCTAGGATTATTCAATATCGCCTTGCCAGGCACGCTGAGGAGAGGCTTGCGGAGCACCAATGTGGTTTCAGGAATGGGCGGTCTTGCACAGACGCCATATTTTCTGTCCGTTTGCTACAGTAGAGGTGTAGGGGATTCGAAGAAGACCTACATATCTGCTTTATTGACCTGAAACTTGATTTAGCGCTTTCGTGACTGCAGGAATTACTCTTTGGTTATTTCGGTAAAGTCATGTAGAAAGAGAAAATATTAAATTAAATAATAGCATATGACGTTTCGATTGCAACACAAGCAATCATCATCAGGTACAAATGAAAGAAAAAACAAAACCTAGTAAACTTAGACATATAATGCAATACAACACAGATAGTCGGCTAACATAACAGTCAACACCCTACCTGGTTTATTACGTTTTTCCAAAGATTGGTAAATTTAAGAGAGAGATTAAACACAGAACCGGAGACACATAGACAGGCACGTAAGCAGAGAGAGATAACACAGACACACATAGAGAGACAAACACATAGGCACACAGGAAAACAATGCCTCTGTGTCGAGGCCTTAAATAGAGAGAGAGGGGGGCAGAGAGGGAGGGGGGAGTAGAGAAATTAGCATGTCAATGAGAGACCTGGCACAACATCAGGAAACAAAGCAACAAAACGAGCGGAGACAGAGAGAGAGAAACCACACTAAATTAAACAAACATTTAGAAATGTAATGCAATGCAACACAGAAAGTCGGTCAACACACAATTAACGCATGGCCTGGTAGATTACGTTCTTCCAAGGATTGCTAAATTAAAAGTTAAGTTTCTGTATCTTGTCTCTCTATCAATTTTCACACATGCTAATTTCTCTACCCCCCTCTCCCTCTCTGCCACCCTCTCTTTATTTAAGGCCTCGACACAGAGGCGTTGTTTCTCTGTGTCCCTATGTGTTTGTCTCTCTCTGTGTCTCTGTATTATCTCTCTCTGCTTACGTGTCTGTCTATGTCTCTCTGGTTCTGTATTTAATCTCTCTCTTAAATTTAGCAATCTTTGGAAGAACGTAATCAACTAGGTAGGGTGTTGACTGTTATGTTAGCCGACTATCTGTGTTGTATTGCATTATATTTCTAAGTTTACTAGATTTTGTTTTCTCTTTCATTTGTACCTGATGATTGCTTGTGTTGCAATCGAAACGTCGCATGCTATTATTTAATTTATTGACCTGGTCAAGGCCTATAATATCATCAGTAGGCCTGGGCTCTGAGTTGTTCTTCGTGCTTTCGGAGTTACTGCCCCTCTGCTCACGATCATTAAGGACCTTCATGATTTTGAGCGGGCCTGGTTAAAACTACATGGCCGGGAGTCGGAGCCATTCCCTGTTCACCTTGGGGTGCGACAGGGATGTCCTCTGGTTCCCACATTATTTAACATAATTTCATCCACGTAGTTCGTGAAGCCTTTGATGGCTGTACCAGAATAATTTCCATCTGGTACAGATACAATGGGAGGCTGACCGATGCCCGGGTGTCGTCAAGGGATGGCTCCCTATTGGTCAACCATGTTATGTATGCCAATGATTTGGTAATTGCCGCTCACTCAGAGGAGGAGTTGGAGGCGCTGCTGTTGAAACTGCGTGCCGCTAAGATTTGGGGCCTTTCCATCAGCCACACCAAAACTAAGCACCTGCCTGGGTATTTTGTACCATCAGGCACTCCACCTCCACAATTTCCAACCGGTGATGGGGCAGTTGTGGAGAGAATGGAGAGTTTCCCATACCTGGGCAGTGTGCTCATGACCGGCTCCGGTTTGAAATTAGAGGTCTCACTCAGAATCAATCGATTGGCATTGTTTTTTCATCGGTTGCATAACGCTGTGTGGAAGCTACCTGGTCTGTCATTCCGCACAAAACTTCAAGTCTTCTTGGCCACGGTCATTCCCTCCCTTCTCTATGCTTGCGGAACGTTGACCCCCCTAATGGAGCATCTTCACTGATTGGAAACATTTAGGCTGGCCTGCTTACGATCCATTCTGGGTTTAACCAGGCTGGATTTTGTGAGGAGCTCACAAATCCTTGAAAAATCTGGGTAAAGTCCCATCGGTGAGCTCCTCCGGCAGGCAAGGCTGCGTTGGCTGGGTCATGTAGCCCACATGCCCAGTCACCGCATGCCTAAACAGCTTTTGTCGGCCGGATAGAGTGGGCTAAACGGGCGCGGCATGGGCTAGAGAAGAGATGGAGTGATGTGGTACAGGAGGATGTGGAGCTGAGTGGACTTGCCGATGACTGGTACCAGCAGTGTCAAGATCGGCCTCTGTGGAGGAGGCTCGTGAAAGACGCTGCTTGGCAATTGGAGGCAGTCACCCTCCAACAACAAGGGAGGGCGGAGGAGTGACGCTCACAACAACGAGCGGAGCACCGGGTGGCTAAATCACAGCAAGTTGGCACAGTAGGGGGCACAGGTGGTGCATAAACCAGTTGTCTCAGTCGACCCGTGGCATCTGGGTCTGCCCCTTGACCTCCTGCCAGCGGGCGATCGACACTTCACGTGGCCTCAAGGTGCACATATCCTGGCACAGGCGTCGTTGTGACGTCACAGTCACTTCGTGGCGAATGGCGGTTGTTGTTGTGTTAGTGTCTTGTTTCTCTCTCAAATTTATCAATCTTTGTAAGAACGTAATCAACCAGGTAGGGTGTTGACTGTTATGTTAGCCGTCTCTATGTGTTATATTACATTATATTTCTAAGTTTGCTAGGTTTGTGTTCTCTTTCATTTGTACCTGATGGTGATTGATTTTGTTACAATCGAAACGTCGTATGCTATTATTTAATTTGTTTTCTTTCTACGTGACTTTACCGAAAGAACCAAAGAGTAATTCCTGCAGTCGCGAAAGCTCCAAATCAAGTTTGAACCATAGGCAGAGTTTGACTTCTATATTGGGGGGGGGGGGCAGGGGTTCGCTTTGTTCCTCACATTAGGAATCGTGGTGCATATGATGCATTTATTTTTTATATTAATTTTAAACTACTGAAAATGTATTAATAGGTGTCCAATTTGGAGGGGCGTTGCCACCCCCATGCCAAAACTCCGCATATGTCTTTGACCAGCAATTCATACAGTAAATGGTACAACCACCACACCTTACAGTATGCGAAACGGACCTCACCTCCTCAAATATGTCCATGCTGTAAGTGTTGTCGTCGTCTGCAAAATAGACGACCCCGTTCAGAGCCCGAGGATCCAAGCCAGACTCCCCGGTTGCATCGTGAGACCCATACCGGTTGCCATACGTCTCCCTGAGCCAGCGCAGAGCCTCGTTCCTCTGGAACGTGCCTCTTGGAAATGAGGAGCGGCTTCTGTTGGGCTGAGAGCAGGAATTTCTTTACGTTTAAAAAAATGTATTTCACCTTGATGCATGATACAGAACAGATGGTTTAGTGGCTGCGAGACTATGCAGTGGGAAGCACAGCTTTCGTTCTTTCACTCTTCTCGCCCCTCCTTCACTGGAACAAACTTCTCCACATGAAGCAGTCACCTTCGCTCAGTAGTTTCCGCTCTTCACTCACAACTCACTTATTGTTTCTTAGCTCACCCCACGACCCCCTTAATGCCCCCCTCGTAACACCATCGTTACTGTTCCCTCTTCATATTCTCATTGTATGGCCGTGATTAATTTCCCATTCATTCGATCCAATCATCATTTATTGTCATCAATTTTGCTTTCACCGAATTCACGCATCATCACAGATTCGTCCCCATTGCTTCCTCTCGTCTATTTTATTCACCTCATTTCCACCACTACATTCACACACGATATTGTACCATTCCTAATTATCGGCAAAGCGCATTGGTTAAGGCGCTATATAAATTACGCTAAGATAAGCGGTCGAGTTTTTGCTCCCCACCTTAAAATCAGACTGACCAGCGTGGGGAAGTATGGCAAGACAGCCCCTCCACGACCCGCGTGGCATAGAGGCCCTGATCTAGCAGTGTATTGACACAAAACGACGCACATGTAACCAATTAAGGCACAATACTGAGATGTACGAATATATTTTTTAGTCGTTTAACCAATCTCATTCGCGTTATTGTCGATGTTTCTGTTTGGTTTGTACAGCTTTGTTCTCTCTGTTAGTTTAAGTTTAACATGAGCACACAGTTTGCATGCGGTCTTCAGTACAGAAGAATCTTGATTATCTACGTGCGGTTTATCCAATATGCGTATTAACCGCGCACCTGAGATTTTGACATAAATTAATAACTCATGGATTTTCCCAAAGCCCAAATGAGTAATCTAAACAGTTTTACATTGTTATTTTTGGGAACGTTTATTACAAGTCACGTGCTTAAACTGGTCAAATATGTGCGAAATCCATGTGATTACCTCTACAGTACAGTAGTTGCATATCTTTACAACAGTGGGTGGAGTTTGATTGATGTTGATTGACGTGGCTCTGCTATCCACTTACTGGGTGGAATCTTCTGTGCCGTAGCAGGAAAGTGTTATCACTGAGCACGCGCATCGCTTGGTCGTTAGATCATTAGTATTCGTTCTAAATCTAAAACGTAACAAATTGAAATCGTTAGTGAGTGATTTATCCCATCATTTATTTTGTGAGTTTAAATTTACTAAACAGCATGATGGCAGATAAACGGAAACGTGCTGTTTAAACTTTGAATCAGAAACTCGATATTATACATTAATTGGAAAACATAATTTATGCCCATAATCGTGTTTTTTGGGATAGACAAATCACGATTTTTAATTATCCGCAGCCGTCGTCCCCATAGTTAGCACGGATACTCGAGAGTCTACTATAATTGAAAACGTCGCCCCCTTATGCAGAATACTTGATCCGTGTATTTGTGAGCTTGCTCAGCCCAGGGCAGTGAAACACGTGAGAGGAGTCTCTCATTAGCCTTTGCAATAATAACATATACTGACACGTATAATGCACATGCTGTCAGCTACACGAAAAATTATCACACAACTGCCATGCCGCTACTTGCTTCGATAGACATTTCACAAATTGTTATTGAGCATTTAAATAAAATATACATTAATTATATATGTACATCATGCAAATGTGCGTCTGCGGTCTGCCCGGCGAGCGTGTAACTTCCCTTTCTCTGACATCCATGGCGTGCATTAGGCAGGCAGACAGAAATTCAGGCAGGAAGCCACCCAGACCACTTTTTTGTAATATCGTATGAAGAGTATGATATACTCTTTTGATTCTTTCGGTAAAGCCCCGTAGGTAGAAAAAATTATAGATCACGATGTTTCGATCACAACACACGCAATCATCATCAGGTGAGACAAATACAGCAGGAGAACTGCTGAGGCAGGAGAAATATAGCGAAAGAGCTGCTGCAACAAGAGGTTATATCGGTTTGAGGTGGGCTCAACCCAAGGGTAAATGGGTGGAGCTAGAGATGCAATTTGCATGTAAATGTAAGATATTAACATGTCAATGTGAGACGGCTCCAGCCACAGCGGCTGTGTTATTGAGAAGATTAGCATGTCAATGTCAGAGAACCGGGCAACAAAAAAGCTATAAATCGAGGCCATCCCAAATATACAATATATAAAGTGACGGACGGGGGAAGGGGACAGAAGTACAGAACCGTAATAGGCAAAACGCAAAGGAAGAGAGAGAGAGAGAGAGAAGAGAGGATAAGGAGAGAAAAAAAACAATACGCGAAACCTCAGGACCCCCTCCAGCACAAGCATCTCCCACTCTCACCGTGTAACAACACCCGCAAGCACAATAAAGGCCAGGTTCAGCCAATGACCAATACGACATTCCGAGTCCGAAAACCAACTGATGGTGTGGGAGTGTGTGTGTATGGGGGTCGCGAAAACTGAGTAGTCTTTGATTGAGTCCTTGTGGCCGGGCCCCCAGGTGAAGTGGACGTACTCTCCCTGGGGGTCCTGGGGGGAATTTGAAAATGTCCCGTCGAACCCCGCTCCTCATGAAGAGCAGTCGGCTGGGTAGACAGGCCTTCCGTTCCCATAACTTGAGAAGACAGGTGGCGGCTTGGGGAACGTTAAACGCGCGTAACCTGAGGACAGGATCACATGACTCCCCTGAGGACCAACCTCAGTGGGTACACATCTCAGCTCGCCTGACACACCCGACACTCAGCCCCTGCATAGTGGAGATGAGATTAATTAACGTGGCACGATTAAAGGCTTGAGGCGAGAGGGACGTACAAACCAACTACGTCGACCCTAGTGAATTTGATCACGCTGGGGCCGAACGACCCGATTCGCATCAACCGGCCCCCTCCAGGGTTTAAACATTTTGGATGACATACCCAACGGTATTTGGGGACATTGCAGCCAGGCTCTGTCACCTGGAGCCCACTCATGTCCAGAAAGACGAAAACCCCTCAGCCGTTCATTCACCAATTGGTGTGAATTGGAATTTTCCCTGGAAGCCTCGCGTGCTTCCGAAAGCCTCTCAAGGATGAGGTGCTTGGCTCGGCTCATAAGTGGACATCAATGGGGGGGTCGTGTTCTCTCCCGTACATAATAAAAATGGTGGACGCGTGATGGGCCATTCTATAGGCAGCCAGGACCCCGGGAATATGCATGTCCCAGTCAGGCTAGACTCGCTGACCTGATGGCTCCGTCTGGGGGTGAAGAAAATGTTTTACCCTGATAGGGGCCCCCTTGTCAATCACATAGCTGTCGAGAAATGCCTCGGTGATGGCCGCTGCCAACTGCTTGGGAAGCGGCCAGGTAATCGGCCACCATGAAAAATATTCGACGCCCACCAGTAAATACTTATTCCCACGAGGGGTGGTAGGAAATAGACCAAGGATATCAAGACCGACCAACTCATGTATGCGGGAAACTCCGAATAGATTGCAACGGTGGATAACAGAATTTAGACAGGGGTTTCCGCCGTGCGCACTGCACACACCCTTTCAATACATTACTGACATCCTCCGCCATGCCGGGACAGAAGATGTCGAGCTTAAGTGTGGCTAGTGTCTTATGCACACCCATGTGCAGCAGTAGTTTGTGCACAATGCATGAGCAATCTTCCTCTGAGGATGGCAGAGGCTACACCCCGTCGATTCCCATCCCTGTCCGCCCCCTTGACATGACGTCGTAGCTTAAACAGGGAAGCATCCTCAACTTGGAGGCGTCCCCACTCCGCATGGTACAAGCCAATAACGGCGTAATGCACCTCTGGACCGTCGGCTTCATCAGAGGTGTCAACCTTGGCCGACGCCGCAAGGGGAGGGTGAGAGTCTTCAGCAGGCGTCTTACAGTGCCCCGAGCCCAAGAAACATGTGCACCCGTCGCTTGTTGGTAATCACGAGAGGGCATCCACGTTCGTGTGTTGGGTACCTTTGTGTTAGGAAAAATTAAAGGAATAGTCCTGCAGGACTTACAACCAACGTGAAAGTTGGCCGGATGGCTGTTCAATACGCAGCGCATACTATAGTGCTGCATGGTCAGAGCACACCTCAAAGCATCTGCCATGAAGATAGGGATGATACTGTTGCACAAACAAAAACAATAGCCAAAGTTCCTGGCGTGTGACACAGTACGTTGTTCGGCCGGAAACAGCACTCTGCTGCCATATGCTACAACACTCTCCGCACCATTAACTACTTGAGACAGAACAGTACCAATTCCGGTGTTGCTAGGATCTGTATCAAGGACAAACGGCAAGGAAAAGTCGGGGTATCGGAGGGGAGGGGCGTTCACCAAGCCATCACGGTGCAAAATAAATTAGGCCCACTCCTCTTCCCACCAATGTAACTTCTGACCCTTTGCCATTAGGGCGTGGAGAGGTTTGGCAATAGTGGCGAACCCGGCGACAAAACAGCGGTAATTGGAAGCAAAACCAATGAAACTCCGCTCCTCCCCCCACTGACGTGGGGGTCGGTCAAGAACGCACACAAGCGGTGCTGTCCTAGTCCGTCGCTATGCCTGATTTACTGACTATGTGGCCAAGGTACTGAACATATTTTTGGAGCAGGTGACACTTCTGAGGTTTAAATTTGAGGTTCGCCGCACGCATCTTAAGAAAAACAGCACTTAACTGTTCCAGATGCTATTTAAACATACCGCTAAAAACTATAAAATCGTCCAAATAAATCAGGCACGAGTCCCACTGGAGGTCAGCCAGAACCAGTTCCATCAATCGCTGGAACGTAGCCGGAGTGGAGTGAAGACCCATCGGAAGCGGATTTAATTCAAACCAGCCTTGTGGTGTACGAAAGGCTTTCTTAGGCTTAGAGAATTCATCTCGGGGCAACTGCCAAAATCCGGATAGGAGGTAAAGAGTTGAAAAATAATGGACTCCTGCTAGAGCATCCAGGGAATCGTCCATTCGAGGA